TTTTTTTTATGTTTTTTTTTTTTAAAAAGGGATTTTTTTTTTTTTTTTTTTTTCTCATTTATGGCAACTTACATTCACATTCAAACATTACAGATCACTTTTTTTTGGCGGTGGGGTTTGTTTCTTATTTGTGCTTACTGAAATTACATCCTTGTGTGATCTTTTGGTCTTTACACAAAACAACTGGAGTCCATATTAGCAGTGTTTATCATTTTGCGTCATCTGTAAATGGTGTTTGAACATTTTTCGTTGTTCACAAAACATTTGGATGGAAGTTTTAGTTACACTGAAGCTCTGAACTCCGTTGGGGCATGTATACTGACTTTCTTCATTTTGTTTTTGTGCAAGGGCTACACCTCCTTCTGGAATGACTGCATTTCATCAGGCCTGCGGGGCTGCATGCTCATTGAGCTGGCCTTACGAGGGAGACTGCAGCTGGAGGCCTGTGGCATGAGGAGGAAAAGCCTGCTTGCTCGGAAGGTAAGACAAACTGTTCAGTCTCTGGTAATGATCATCTGATAGAGAGAGGCTTCCTGTTTTGTATCCCTCCCTCAGTTCTACAAGCATTTAAAGGGATAGTTCACCCAAAAATGAACTTGTCATCATTTACTCACCCTCACGTCATTCCAAACCTCTGTTCTTCTCTGGAACATAAAAAAGACTGAATAATGCTGGAGTTCAAACAGCAGTGGATCCCATTTACTTTCATTGTATGAACAAATGTAATGTAAGACCACAATCTGGCTGTACTGATGGTAGAGGTTTCTACAAACACATAACTGGACAGAACAAATTCAGAAGATATATTCTTTGGGCTTGTAAAATTCAGCACTCTGGTGTCAGTACATTTACAATTGTGTATGGCTCGTTCTCCCACAAGAGGGAGCTCTTTGATATTAATTGTGTGTCAGGAGGCCACTTTTTGTGGTTGGTGTTGGCTGTTGTAAGTGAGAACGTTTTGGAAAATGCATTACATTTAATATATGAGGTAAAACTCTTTGGTCTTCAGTTGAAGCAGTTCATCTCCTTCACATGATTTTATCCTCTTGATTTCACTGCCTTGATGTAAGTGGTGCTTTGTGCATTAGCGCGTTTTAATGTGTTCAGCGACGTTTTTCTTGTCTTTTTTTTAGGTTATATGTAAGTCTGATGCTCCAACGGGAGATGTGCTTTTGGATGAGGCTCTGAAACACATAAAAGACACTCAGCCGCCCGAAACCGTACAGGGCTGGATAGAGTTACTCAGTGGTGAGTTTTGCACATATCATTTGAGTTCCTCAGTCTTGAAATTTTTTATTCGGATTACCTCAATGCCTTACTTTGGCTTTAGAGAAAAAAATAAACATTACTTATTAAACTCATGTATTATTATGATTATTTATTATAGTTGTTATTGACAAGACTAATATTCATTGGTTATATTATACACTACTAGGGGTGTGACGAGATCTCGTGGCACAAGATCTCACGAGATCCGATGTGTCGATATCCTCACGCAGACCTTTCAGATATATATTTGCATTACACTGGCTCGTTCACCAATGGTGGTATGTAAGATATTTAATGTTACATCAGGCAAGTGGCCGCATGATAAGCGGGATGCGCGGTTTCATTTACTACACACATACTGAAGCACGCCTGACGCTCGCGGTGATTTCGGCGTCTGCCGTCTCATTAAATGAGGACGAAGTTGTTTTATGCATTCAAATAATTAGACGATACATTAATCGTGTTTATTATATATTTTTTTATTAAAGTGGAAATCAGTTTACTAAATAATATAATGTGTATTAAATAAAAAAAATAATGTGAACTTGACTGACTGCTTCACTTCCACTTTAAAGGGATATTTATGTTGTTTATTATTTATTTTTTATTTATACTATTTATTATTTTTGTGCAATTACTGGCCTGTCAGTTGAGTTTGTGGCAAAACATTTTGCAGTGTTTACATGTTGTTTATTACTGCATAAAATTTATTAAAATAGATGTTTAATTTCATAAAGTACAAGTTGATTTCAAAATGCACCTACTTTTTTGCATTTTGTGTTTTTCACTTGAATAAAATACTATTTTTCCTATATATTTCATCATTGAGGATTTCTTTAAAAAAGTCTAAAAATCTCGTCTCGTCTCGTTCTCATGGGATAAGTGTCTCGTCACACCCCTATACACTACTGTTCAAAAGTTTGTGATTGGTCAGATTTTTTAAATGTTTATGAAAGAAGTCTCCTGTTCTCATCAAGGCTGCTTTTATTTGATTAAAAATACAGTAAAAACAGTAAGAATGTGAAATTGTTACCATTGAAAATAACTGATTTATATTTTAATAATATATTTTAAAATGTAATTTATTTCTGTGATGGCAAAGCTGAATTTTCAGCAGCCATTACTTCAGTCTTCAGTGTTACATGATCCTTCAGAAATTATTCTAATATGCTGATTTGCTGTTTAAAAAAAAAAAAAGTATTATTATCAATGTTGAAAACAGTTGTGCTGTTTAATAGTTTTGTGGAAATCATGATACATTTTTTCAGGATTCTTTGATCAACCGAATGTTGAAAAGAACAGCATTTATTTGCATGTATAATCTTTTGTAACATTATAAAAGTCTTTACTGTCACTTTTGATCAATTCCCTGCATCCTTGCTGAATAAAAGCATTCATTTCTTTCCAAGAAAAAAATCTTACTGACCCCAAACTTTTAAATGGTAATGTTAGATTACATGAAATTGTATTGATTTTAATCATTTTAACCATTGCTACCAGGGCTCCAGACTGCAACTAAAACCAAAAATATTAATTTGCGAGTGATATTTTTGCTGAGACGCCACTGGCGACTATATAAATTTGTTATGACTTAAAAATTTGCATATAATGCTTTTGTTCCTGATTGTTTTGAGATCACATCTTTTGTTATGTTGACGTAATAAACGGAGACGATGCGCATCAAAGTTTTAGTGGAAACAGTCCTCATCTCTGCCGAACACCAGCGTTGACGGCACACCTGCTAAAAGCAGCTCCAGTTGTGGCAGAGATCGAAAATGACGGAGACATGCGAAGTTAAAGTGCAGAAAAGCAGTGTCTATTTCATGCACAACTTGAACAAACTACAACAGGTAAAGCTGTCAGCTGTGTGGATATTAAGAATTCTCGTTTATAATCGATACGGCTTCTTGTCATCAAGATCTTTAGTCTAAATGCTGTGTTCTGTTAATGCGTGAACTTCATATTATTAGTAGCGCACTTGTCGTCCAATAGACACAATAGGCTTTGTGCTCTGTTACCTTTTAATAACCAAAGTATAAGCTTTAAAATTCTGCCAAATTCATGACAAAATTCAAACAATAATTAGCGTCAGTTTTGGCACTCTTTAATGTAGCATGAGCGGCATGAGCCTCAGTTCAATTGACACGTGAACCCATCATATCTTTCTCTTTACTACTATAGTATGAAATGAACAGGAATGGACACCAAAAGGTATATTATAAGATAGCCTACAGTACAACTTACTGAAATGTCTCATGTAATCACTCATTCAGTGTTTCAGACTGCAGAAAATGTTTAAAGCTTGTAAACAATGCCACGTAACAATACATTTACCTCAGAATAACCATTCGGCGTTAATAAGCTCATTAGTCATCTAGAAAAAACAACTGTAAAGAAGGAGCATTTTGCTAAATATTTGCGCTATATTGCGTACTAATATTTTTACTTAACCTGTTGTCTACATGATAAGAAAAAATGAAAGGAGCTAGAGATATAATTGCATGTTACTAATGAAGAAAAACAGACTGGATGTGTGCAAGAGGAGCCCAAACATATGAGGAGGAGCCCAAACTACACTCAAGGGCCAAATGATGCTGACGTAATTATGGTCCGTGATATTGGCACAGATTCTGTGTATTAAACAATTCTTTGTGACTGTATATATAATTCTCAAATTGAAAAAGACGTTTAGTTCCCACTTTAAGTGAACCTTAGTTCCCAGGACATCTACAGGATGGATTAAAATGCTAATGCTGTAAAATGAGGGGAGACATAAATACATAACAGTATGACTGGCTTCAGGGCTTTGACTAAGTCAGGATTAGGCCATAGTTCAATTAGGACATTTAAGTATTTTTTTTTTATAAACATTAAAAAACATTACTGGTGTGCATCTTGAGACAAAACAAGGGCACTGACACATTTTAAGATCAATCAGTGCAAGCTTCTTTCAGTTGAAACAGCTCAGACTTACATTTTAGTCTTGGACTAGGCTTAAGCCTTGTATGTGAAACCAGGGGAAGGTGTTTAAAAAAAGAAAGAAAGAAAGAAAAAATGTTTATTCTGTGGCACTTAAAAAATTATTTGGTGCCTATCTTTGTTTCTTATAGGAGCCAATGGTTTCTTTTAAGTGATTTTTTTTTTTTTGTCTGGAGCCCTGCTACCTTCTAAATGTACTGTGCCTGGTGCGCATAAAAATGCTGGATCCAGACTCGCTTTGGTCTTAAAAAAGCAGATTTGAGACAGATTTCTGGTACCTACTGTGGCTATGAGCTCAGTTGGAAATGTCTCAGTATGGAGAGCCAAAGGGTCAAAGGGTGAGATCAAAGCGTCTGTGAGAAGGAGCTGCTGTCCTCATTTAGAGAGTATATAAAAATGTGCTCAGAATTAGATCAGAGCCATAAATTACTGCAGGATGATGACTAGCAAATGCACTACCACAGCCTGCTTTGATCCTGAGATGTCTGTGCTTCTCTGCTTTAGCACAGGAGCTGACCAACAGAGCTGGTGGTACTCGCTCAAGGGACTCTAGCTTGACTTCTGCATTCAAAATGAATGTCAGCAACTTGTGAAAGACTGCAAGCTGCTAAAATCTCGAAGAAAGCCTATAAAAACTATTAATGATGTAATAATCCTGTAGGAGCAGATATCAATAAATGGGATTTCTTTTTAAATTTATGAGTATTATTTGATATTGGATATTTATTTGTGCATAATCATTCATTCGTTTATTTATTTATATTTTGATTACCTTTGCCGTCATCTAATTCTCAAAGCCATTAAAGTCATTAAAACCACTAATAATTTAATTATAAATGCAATCTTTAGCAAATCTCAAATTTAATGTCCATACCGTACATTATAATGTTGACATCACGAGTAGACACGCCCCTTATTGCTGATTAGCTACAAGTTTGTTTTGCGATTCGGCCCGAATCAGTTTTCTAAAGTGTTTTTGAAAAATCACTTACTCTGCCTTTAAATTCACTTCCAAAAAATTATTTTTTTCTTGTCATTTTATTTTTTTATTTATTTTATTTTTAATATATTAAATTTTTTATTTGACTTCATTAATTTTTAATTAGGCATAGTAATTTAGAATTATTATATTGGCCAATTATCAGTTATTTGCCATAATTTAAATCTGTGAAATTCTAATGATATCAACTAGACATTTAGTAATGGTGCAACCCATAATTTATTATTATAATTATTTTATGTATTTAGTTTTATCCATTTATAATAAATGTACGTTTATTATAGGTTCATCACAGCTGTCTAGCCATCACACAGAATAGAAAAAGCTATTTTCAAGAACAGTGTGGCCCATTCAAGGAATGCACTCATGTCTTTCTTCTGACCTCACGTTGTGCTGCTGATATCTGAACAGTGATGAAATCTTCCTTATTTACATTTCTGATTTAATAAATTCCTCATTTAAATGTTGACAACAACTGTATAAGATACAGTACATTGTCACAAATATACAACCCTTATGGGAGTTGTGCATCCTATGCATGACTTTTTAACAGCTGTTATTGTGATACCAAAATTGCCAATTATTATTATTATTTTTTAAGCAAAATTATTTATTGTTCATTTGCTCTATAACAAGCTAACTGGCCTTAAACAAAAATGTCTGTAGTCATTTGAATTTAGAGGCAACCACTGCATTTTAATCACAATCCAAAATATGCTACATGTTGCATGAGCAGTTGTTTTTGATTTGAATTAGATTGTACAATTTCATGATTTAAAGCAAAAACAGAACAGTCTGACATTATCTTCGTGAAATAATGCTACATAAAAACTAGGGTTGCAAAGGGGTGGACAATTTCCGGTAAATGTCTGGAAACTTTCCAAAAATCCCCGGAATATTCCCAAACAAAAAAAATCCTGGAAAGTTTCCAAAATTTCTGGAATATTTCCGAAATTTACTGGAAATTTTCCACCTTTTTGCAACCCTAATAAAAACATATCTACATGAAACAGAAACAGCAGACGGGCTGAATGAGACGCACATTCGCTCTCTAACAGCAAGTGACTCTTATGGAACAGCAGCGATACAGCGTTCACAGCAAAGGGTCTGAATACTTTGGACCATGTGATATTTCAGTTTTTCTTTTTTAATAAATCTGCAAAACTGTCAACAATTCTGTGTTTTTCTGTCAATATGGGGTGCTGTGTGTACATTAATGAGGAAAAAAAATTAACTTAAATGATTTTAGCAAATGGCTGCAATATAACAAAGAGTGAAAAATTGCAGTATTTTCTCCTCTTTGCATCCTTCTTCAGCGTGTCTGGCCTCTGTTAACGTCCTGTTTGTAGACTCAGGCATGATGTATTTTTAGTAGCTCCCGAAAATAATAGAAAACTAAGTACAAAAAATACTGTACAAAGACAAATACAATGTATTTTTTGTACTTATTTTTCTGTTGTTTTCAGGAGCTACTGGGACAGTGATAAAGATCTACCGGTCACAAATGGAGTTTTTCAGAGGTCATATTGACTATGACAGATTAGTTAAATCTCTGTCCTTGTCAAACAAAGTGAACATAAGTATGTTTGGCACTGAAAGTGCTTGTCTTTTGCAGGCGAGACATGGAACCCACTGAAGCTTCACTATCAGCTGCGTAACGTCCGAGAGCGCCTGGCGAAGAACCTTGTAGAGAAGGGCGTCCTCACCACCGAGAAACAAAACTTTCTTCTGTTCGACATGACTACACACCCACTTACCAATAATAATATTAAGCAGCGTCTTATTAAGAAGGTGCAGGAGGCCGTGCTGGACAAGTGGGTGAACGACCCTCACCGAATGGACAAACGTATTCTAGCCCTTATATTCCTCGCCCATTCCTCTGACGTACTAGAGTTTGGAGTTGGTAAATTTATAAATGTGTATGAAAGAAGTCTCATATTCTCACTAAGGCTGCATGTATTTGATCAAAAATACAGTAAAAACAACATTGTGAAAAAATACAATTTAAAATAACTTCTATTTTAAAATGTACTCCTGTTATGGCAAAGTCTTCAGCGTCACATGATCCTTCAGAAATCATTCTAATATGCTGTTTTGGTGCATCCTTGTTGAATAAAAAGTATTAATTTCTTTAAAAAAAGAAAGAAGAAGAGGTCTTATTCAACCCCAAACATGTGAATAGTGGTATAGACGACGTGAATGCAGCTCATCTTCATCCAGCATGTCGGACTTGGCCTCGCCGTAGTGTGCATTTTCCGAAGTACAGAGGTGTTTACTCCTAAAGTTAAGCATTTGGAGTTTATACCACTGAGTCATTTTGAAATCCCAGACTAGCAAACTTATTCAACCACTAATGAGCATTTCAGCTATTTAACTGAAGGTATGTTGGCTTCTAGATTGCTGACTATCCATTTGTATAAATCATTGCTATAATTCTAGAAGAAAAACCCCAGAGCCGAAACGCTCATTGAGAATGAGTTTGTGTTTACACTGTTGATAGTAAACCGTTTTATTTCACATTAGTTAGTGAAGAGGGTTTCTCTTACATCAGGGTTCTTGTATTTACACGCTCTTGCTTTTTTGGTCATTTTTCAGTCGGTCTTTGAGTGGTACTTCTCCCATAGCAGTGGATGTTTGTTTACAAACAATATATATAGTGTTGAGTCTCTGGTCTATTCTTCTGCCTGGCCTGGTGTGCTGTCTGGTTTCTGCAGACGTTTGGCCAGCTGTGGTAGAAGGTTGTATCGTGTCTGCCTGCAGAATAGCCTCAATGCATTAATATTTCGGGTGAGCTCATCTCTTAATGAAAGAAAATGCTCAACCCAAGGGTCAGAAGCGAGCATAAGACCTTCATCCTTCAGTATATGGTTGAAACATGTTGTTCTGGCATTGTCAATGATGACTCATATTTATGTAAAATTCTGTCTTTTCCTTAAAGGGAAGGTGTTTGACGTGCATATTCTCGCCGGGAAATGCTGAGGCTTGGAAGCGCGTGATTATGTTGACTTACTCAATGCATTAATATTTCGGGTGAGCTCATCTCTTAATGAAAGAAAATGCTCAACCCAAGGGTCAGAAGCGAGCATAAGACCTTCATCCTTCAGTATATGGTTGAAACATGTTGTTCTGGCATTGTCAATGATGACTCATATTTATGTAAAATTCTGTCTTTTCCTTAAAGGGAAAGTGTTTGACGTGCATATTCTCGCAGGGAAATGCTGAGGCTTGGAAGCGCGTGATTATGTTGACTTATCCAGCGTCTTTGCTGATTTAAAACACAGTCCACCCTGTTAGCTGACAAGATTCTACTTGGTGACTTTCTCCGAATATTAACTCGTAACTTCATAAAAATGTGGTCAATATGATTTATAGATTAGCAAGAACTGCTTATAATCAAGTCAGCCGCAAATGTGATATAGCTCCTGTTTGAATCACAGATAAGAATCTAGGCAATGTTGTGAAATATGTGTTGTGAGGATTAGATGCACAGTAATCTCTTTTCTGCTGTAACCTACCAGCACCAGAAACATTTATAAATTGTTTATCTATTTTTGCAAAGCTCTTATGAAGACATTACAGTCTTGTGTTCAACTGCTTGATTGCACAATAAATGTTAGTTTCATAACTAACAACAGATCAGAATATACTTTATAGCCTCTTTTATAGAAATTTGATTTAAAACGGCATGTTGTCATTAAGCCACTGAAGATTAATATTTTACAATCAATCATGCAATCAATCAATCAATCAATAAATACATTTTTACCTCTGAAACTTATTAGTGATTGATTTTCAAAAAAAATTATAAAATATCAAGTGACAAAATTATAGAGTTAAAATGGTATGTCACTACAAAGACACTGAACATGAGTATTTATGATCATTCATGGCATAAATAAATAAAGTAATTAATTTTACCACTGCAACTTAATGGTGAAACTCAATTTTGTTTAAAAAAAAAAGTTTTAAAATATCAAAGTTAAAAAATGCGATGGTGATGAACGTTATAACGTTTTCTAAAAGTTGAATAGAAAAATAGAAAAAGTAGACTGGCAAAAATTTTGTGCAGTTTGCTAGAAAGCAAGTGACAAAATCCTGAAAGAAAAAAAGTTTAGGAAGAAAATTCTGATCAATAGACCAAAGATGTTTACCACAAACCAGAGACACAAACACCCTGGTAAAACCATACATCCCTATAATCAGACTTGATGGTGGCAGCAGCATACTCTGGATTTGACTGAATATTCATGTTTGGAATATACGATAAAACACACACACACACACACACACACACACAAGAGTATGATGGAATGATTATAAACTTATAATTCTGGAATGGTTCAGTCTGAGCTGAGACATTAATCCAATTGAATATTTTTGGTATGACCTGAACATTGCTGCAAGCCAACACTTTCTAATTTGGCAGAGATGGAGTGAATTTGTGCCGAAGAATTGAAATGTGGAAAGTTCATGCAGACATAACCAAGAAGACTCATACTGTAGTTGCAACTCGAGGAGTAGGTACACAGCATGTATTCATTGGGGGTGATTGCTTTGTGTAGAATTCATTGTTATTTCAATATGCTAAAATCTGGAATTAACAAAATGCAGAAATAAAATCAAGGGGAGAGGGGTGAGTACTTCTGACAAGGCGCTCTGTTCAGTTTTCTATTGCTTTAATATCTATTCCATTTCAATAATTTTCCTTTATGATTACATTTATTCCAAAAATGCCAAAATTTCTCTCCTCGACTTGGCAGGACCAGTGGTCAATCTGTGGGTGCCCAGTAGTTCTTTTCACTACCCTTGAAATAATAAATGACCTAAAGGCACATAAGCACCTCCCAAATCAAAACCACCTGGGCCCAAGAATGCCTGTGTACCTCGTTGTTTCTATGGACTCCTGGAGTTGAAGAGTACAATACTTCATCTGCAGAACAGCCTTCAGAATATTACATATGTAGAAAAAGACAAGGTTTAAACACCAACATTTTCATGTCTTGATTCTCCATCTCCAATCAGTGGTATACATAAAAGTGAAAAATGATGGTAAATAAATATTGACAAATATTATATGGTGATATGAAACATAACTGTAATCAAGTAAAATTAAAGCTAACAAATCAACAGCCCCTGTGTTAATCGTAACATTTCTAATCAGCATTTCAATCATAAACAGAGATGTTCACATACAATTGTGTTTGAGAGCAAACGAAAATATCACAGCAGTTTTTGTTCTGAGGCATTTTTCATGTTCCTGTTTGATACAAACAGTCGTGAAATTTCCTCCCAGCCCTGAAAGAGAATTCACTTCATACATTTTATGTACAGTTCCTCACAAAAGCGTTGCTGCTTTTTACAAGGTATTTTGTTTATTTAAGCTTCTAGGCATGAGATACTGTTTGTGAGGATACTGAATGAGACTAAAGGCAGGGCAAGTCTGGTCTGAAAAGGTTTTTATGATCTGATTTGCCATGCCCAGACAAAACTCAGCTGGGGATTCCCAGAGGTTATGCTTCATACTTTTAATTGTAGAATATAGTGACAGAAATGTACTTATATTTACTTATACAAGTGTTTTTATTTAAGTACTTGAATTTAATGAACTGGATCAATTAATTGGAAAAAATGAATCTCTATCGCTAATTTTTGCTGTTAATGATGAAACCAGAATATAACAGATTAACATCACAAAAGAATATAGTGAAATATATCAACTGTTCAAAAGTCATTACCCCTTAACATTACACAGTCCAGACATTCAATGTAAAAAAAAATAGGCACATCTGTCTCTATGGGCCCTCAGTTTGAATACAAAATTATATTTCCACTTGAAATCATTTTAAAGGTTAAAACGGCCAAATATGGCTCTAGAAGATCAATTTACCACAAGGCATTTAACAACTGCTCTGTGTTTATCAGATCCAGCAGCAGCTAATTAAACAGCAGCAGCAGCAGCGGTGTTGCTCCGCCCACTCTCTGCGTCATTCCCCACAGCGAATTGCGTGCATGTGTTAAAACTGAGCCTTTACTGTTACTGCTGCCTCTTTTGTGAAAGAGTTGTCAGAGTTGACCAAAGGTGAGGATTTTTTTTACAATAACACACAGACGAAAACAGCTCAGCTGTTCGGTGTTCATGTGGTACTTTTTCCCCAGATCACTGCAGGCGTTCCTGAAGGACTCGACTTGAGAATCGCAGCGGATTTCATTGATTTGGATTAAAATTTCTTCTGGTCTTGGAAATACAGTCTGCTAACACGTTTTAATGCAGCTGCACGGATGGTAAGTTTTAGTTTATATAGTTTATAGCTTCACTGAATTCCCTTGTCTCCCTTGACTAAACTCCTATCGCATTTTTGTCTTGTGTCTGGCTGTGCCAAGACATTCATGGAGAAATGTTGACAAACGGACATCTATCCTGATTTATACATGATGGGTTATTACTACCAAACAAGAGCATGTTACTGTATCTGTTAATAATATAATTTAAAAAAAATCACTCTTTTTGCTCTTTTAAGTCATTTAACTTACATTTGTGGAGCTGCATAGGCTAGTTAATTTGGGCACTAAGTATTTTTAAGTATTTATTTATTATTTAACTCTAAACACTTGAGAAATATGGTTAAAATGATGTACATTTACATGAGATGACTCCCATTATATAAGTCTCCTAGAAATAAACAAACAAAAAACAAAACCCCTTTTATTCTGCATGGAGTGGGTCGCTCCCATGGTCGCCACCATATTGATGTCACATGACCAGTCATATCATGCAATTAACTACTATTACTAATAATAATAATACATGTTTTTTAACAATAAAGCATATGGAAGAATGCCATTGAAGAGATTAGTTAGCTATATTGTCCTTGAATCCAAAACCCGCAGACCTGGCATAAATTTGAAGAGCCACTTAAAAATTATGAAAAAAATCAAATAAATTGATGCAAAATTTTGCCAGCAACCTATGGGCATAGTGATATTGCTGTTGGTGTTGTGTACTCATAGTTCTCATCCATTCACCTGAAGTGTGAGCGTGCATTAGCTGTGTTTTAATGCATCTCTGTACATCCATTTGTGCATGTTACCGTTTGGCTGACAGTTATATGCTCCGTTTGAAGCGTTCACTTGTGTGAGTAAGTCTCCTCCCTTTGTGTTTGTTTCTGCTGAGGTGGGAGAATTACACACTGTTGTCAGTCATGGCATTTATACCTCACACATTACCACTGTACCATTGTTCCTATACCTCTGGGAAAAGAAAAAATATCCAATGATCTAATGTACACATTGACCTGTTTATTTTTGTGTAATGTGTACATTAAATGCAATATGCACTTTCAGAGGTACCCTATAAGGTAAGAAACAAGTAGTAAACCAATCACAATGATGAAACTTCTGAATCAGGTTCATATTGATTCATATTTTCATGTCATATTCTCAAATTCCCAGTTATGTTCAAATCCACTCTAAGAGTCATATGGAAAATGAAAAATATCCAAGCCAGAAGCCTAAACTGTTAGTGCCAGTATGCAGTATGGCATAGTAAATTAGAAGGCATTTATTCATCATCCATCTTAAAGGTTATCGGCTAAAACATACTGTCATGTGATCCTTTTTGATTTGTATAGTTTCAAATTTATATGACAGTAATTTTTTGTGCCCTGTGTACACACTAAACATAGTTGAAGGCCACAGTGCATTAGAATGCTGCTGACCTGCTTGGTTTCTCCATTTACTCACTTCAAGGCTATAGATCATGAAAAGACCAATTCTTCTTAATGCTTCATACATTAAATATCTTAGCACACATGAACCCTCAGCAGCAGCCTGGTGCACTGAAGCAGAGTGGCCGTCCTGGAAAAAGTGAACAGCAGTGTGTATAGTCTAAAAAAAGACCGTAATGGTGCGTCTCAGAGAGAATGGTGAGACTGGGAGCAGGGGAGTGTAAGTGGCTTGTGGTACAGTTGTTGTTTTGGGTTAAGCTGGACAGTATCTGGCACACCGCCCAACTGCAATGCATGGCTCATCCAGTGGGGAGACCACAAGAATGAGCCAACCCGCCCCATCTAGATCAAATTCTCTTCCTGAGGATTACATCTGTACATCTCACGCAGCACTGTTAAGCAAAGAGTAAGGAAAGACAACCCGTTTCATAGAAAAGATTGCAGCTTTTGGATGTGATGTAGAGCAAGGGTATTCAACCAAGGGTCCGCAACCTCCAGGAGGTCCGCCAATTAATGTTAGATCACAAGTAATTTTTCGTAAAAAAATTAAAACATGGGTACATAACAAACATAAAAAAAGTCAATTTTAAATATAAGCAGCCTGAAACGAAAGCAAGAGCACCCTCAGTTGATACTGCAATGATGTAATATTGTTTTTGAGTTTGTGCTTCGAGAATGTGAAATGTTCCTATTTACAGCATGTTTTTGCAGCGGTGAGAAATGTAGCCAATCACAGACATGGTTGTTGATCTCTTGAACGCACTGGCCAATCAGAGATGTTTAAGTTAGACTCAGCTAACCACTCACTCCGGAGTTTTTATTCAGTGTTGAATTACACTCACTTTCGTGAATCCTCTCTTTTTAACAAACAAAGACACGACATAAGATTCATTATGCAGTCTAGAAAACTTTATTGATTTTAATGGAACGTTGTGAGATCTCAAACTGAGATGAGTGACAGCTTTTTAGTGATTGTAAAGTGAGCGGTCTTTCACACTTTCGAGGATATAGCTATAATCCGTTGAATAAAAGTATTGTTTTTCATGCTGCTACGAGGACCGACTGCCGATTACATGCTGCAAAGTTTTGGAAGTGACATCTACATATAAATGCGTGATTCATTCTGAATCTGCAATTGATATTGTGATGCTAGCACAGGACAAAAATATGGCTTGTCGAAATCGATATGCGCAATGTAAATGTAGACTAATAAATTACTAGAAAAATATTCGTATCGATATATTTTTAAATTCCATTCCAATTTTTGTAAAAGTAATGCCTTTTAAATAATCGTGAATGTCTCACTGTACATTGCTATTCTTGTAATTGTGGAGCCCTTGCTTACACATTATATCTGCACTTTATTAGAAAACCCTCACTCAGTGATTTGATTCTTAATTGTCCATCTCACAGTAAAATTAAAATGTTAAGTTTTAGTAAACTTGAAGCTAAAGTTTAACAAAAATGTTTATTTGTCCTTCTGACGGTAAAATTAAAATGTGAATTTTTAATAAACTTAAAGTTCAGATAAGTGTAAATGTCCATCTGACTAGTAAAAGATAAAAGTGATTTTTATCTCAACTTGTTTTTTTTATGATGCATTTTAACAAGTCATATACAGGCATGTGAGACAACAATAATGTGCATAGTTCTGATCTACTGTCATAACATAATATACATGTAACATAATATAATTTATTCTTAATCATAATATGGTTAGTTTCTATTAATATTGAAGGCTATATGCTTAATGTGTAGCTCTGCTTGACACATTTTGTATTGGGGTCCCTGCTCCATGTCTCTATCACCTAAGTTGTCCTTGCCCTGAAAAACATTGAAGTCCCCTGATATAGAGCGTCTAAACATTTGTCTTTGCATGGCTGACATTAGATGCTTTACATACATTTTGCCTGTGTGGTTATCTGTTTAACGAAGGACGGTCAAAGTTCAGAGATGAATGGAGACACATTTGAATGGATCCCTGCTGGTATGAAATTTAAATATTTATTTTTCTCTTATAAAAATGTATGTGTATAAAAAACTATAGCAGACTATTAACATCCAATGATGTGCAGGAGTTTGAGTTTGACATCTACTAAACCATACTTTTATTTCACCCTTGCAAAAACCAAAGTTTCTGCAGAGGGTTTTGCATCAGTATTATGTCACGTCTTTTATAAGTGCACCCACTTTTTTTCCATGTGGCTTCCCTAGCCTCCCTGAAAAGAATGGAGATGACCCTTACTTTGTCTAGTCTAGACTTCATTCAGCTCTTGACTTGTGGGCAAGTGAGTGAATTGTCTTTTCTTTTTCTTTTTTTTTTGATGTTTGGATGTTTTATCCTAAGCAAAAACTCTGCTAACACTAGCAATATATAGTTATATATACACATTTTTTTTTAAACTGATCAAAGACTAAAAACAAGATTAAATAAAAAAGAACTCTTAAAACCAGATGTATTACCAATGAAGGGCCCAAAAATAATCAGATTTAGAGCTTCCATTGAAAAACCTTCCATTCATTACTGCCCTATTTCAGTCCTTATTGGCATCATTGCAAATCGTGTTGAAAACAGCCATTCATTTGTGAATGGCCATCACTATATTGGTCTTTATGGCAAGTATGGGTACTTGATGAATTGTACCCTGTCTAGGGTTTCATTTACATATTAGAGCCCCCTGTAAGTGCATTTCATTGTCCTCAATGAGAACGGAGAGTGCATGAATGAATCTGAATGAGGGGGTCTCGCTCCTACAGTGGCACACCTCTGACATCTGCGTAAATTACATTGTGCCCACCCCCCACAGCTTTCTCTCACATTCGGCTGGGAAGAGCTCCCCTCCGGTTTTAGTTCTTTCAGTTCTTTTGCACCGTAAGTGTTTCACAACATTTGAATACGTCAAGTCTCAAGTTTGTTTGTGCTATTGCTTTAAGTCAAGCCTTTGAATGCCAAAATCTGTTTAACTTTGCTTGGTGTTTGTTTGGAGAATCATTCCCTAGAGGTGACCTCACTAAAAACTGACAACCATATGCTCAGCTAGACTACAAATTTGGCTCTATGGTTTTGCTTTACATTTTTGGATTTTTTGAAGCAACTAAAAATCGTATGTTGGCAAGCAGATAAAAGTTTCTATATGTTTGGGTAAAAAAAACCATTACGGAGGCATTTCAGTAGGATATTATGATCTTGAAGCCAAACTCTTCTCTTGAATGGCTCAGATTTTCTGTTGGTTACTGTAAGCGTACCCTTCTGAACGACTGACAAAGACACGTTTGGAAAACACCTGTCAAGTCTTTCTGGAAAAATCCAAAGATGTTTGTGTTGGAGAGACTGAATTGCTATTTTAGGCTGTAAACCACAAAGTGATTGTTGACTCGTGAGATGTGAAGAACATGCAGTGTTTTGTAGCTGAGAGTCAGACAGGCGTTCTCCATGTGTTTGCTGACAGGAGGACTGAATGCGCTGGCAGGTGTGTGGAAGGTTCCAGACTGTATGACTCCAGAGACTGCTACCTCATGTTAAAGCAAAACCAATGAACACAGACAGTAACCGAACACGTTTACATTTATATTTAATCATTTAGCAGATGCTTTTATCCGAAGCGACTTACAAATGAGTAGAACAAAAGAAGCAATCCGACCAACAAGAGAGCAACAGTATACAAGTGATGTGACAAGTCTCGGTTAATCTAGCACAGTACACATAGCAGGGTGTATTTAAAAAAAAATTAATAGAATAGTGACAACCATATGCTCAGCTAGACTACAAATTTGGCTCTATGGTTTTGCTTTACAGTTTTGGATTTTTTGAAGCAACTAAAAATCGTATGTTGGCAAGCAGATAAAAGTTTCTGTATGTTTGGGTAAAAAAAACCATTACGGAGGCATTTCAGTAGGATATTATGATCTTGAAGCCAAACTCTTCTCTTGAATGGCTCAGATTTTCTGTTGGTTACTGTAAGCGTACCCTTCTGAACGACTGACAAAGACACGTTTGGAAAACACCTGTCAAGTCTTTCTGGAAAAATCCAAAGATGTTTGTGTTGGAGAGACTGAATTGCTATTTTAGGCTGTAAACCACAAAGTGGTTGTTGACTCGTGAGATGTGAAGAACATGCAGTGTTTTGTAGCTGAGAGTCAGACAGGCGTTCTCCATGTGTTTGCTGACAGGAGGACTGAATGCGCTGGCAGGTGTGTGGAAGGTTCCAGACTGTATGACTCCAGAGACTGCTACCTCATGTTAAAGCAAAACCAATGAACACAGACAGTAACCGAACACGTTTACATTTATATTTAATCATTTAGCAGAT